TATAATAATATATAATAATTTATATTAATATATAATAATTTGATAATATAATAATATAATCAAATTTAAATAAATTTAAATTTAATAATAATAATAAATTAGTACTAAACATTAGATATTTAATAACATAAAGAATAAAACACTCAATTTTATAGATTTTACGAGAACTAAATTTTGAATTTGATAATCTTGAAAGAAGATCGACAAATGGAAATGGAGCAGATGGTGATAATGTTCGTCTTTGGACAAATCATCGAGTAATGGAATGGCTCAGAGTAGTTGATTTAGCGGAATATGCTCCAAATATGAGAGGATCTGGAGTACATGGAGGTTTGATGATTTATGAAGGCAGATTTACTTCAGAATTATTGGCCACGTTACTTAGTATTTCTCCAGGAAAAACTCTTCTTCGTAGACATTTAACTACACATTTTAATCAAATTCTTGGAAGAGAAGTCGTACAAAGAAAAAGAGAAATTGAGAACACTCCTGGATTCATTCCACTTACGCTTACCGCTCGTTTAAAGGTAATTTCTATTATTTTAAAATGTTAATAATACTACAATCTTTAGTTTCTTGAAAGGAATTGATTCATTAATTGTTTACTATATATTTGCTATTCTTGAAAAATCGACACTTAAAAAAAAATATTAATAAATTTATTAAAAAATCAAAATTTATAAAAAAATATCAAACAATTTGTGAACAAACTTCTACATAGGTCATGAATAAAGATTTACAAAAAATTTTATTTCATTCAGAAATATCCAATGAGAAGAATGTAAATATGAATCTAAAATATAAATTTAAGTTTATTTAGAGATATAGTAGTTATGAAATATGAGCTAATAATGTTCATGAAATGTTCATTAAAGAACATTTTTTTAATTCTGCATTACAAGCAGATTACGAATAATATGCAAATAGATAAGCAAACATTTAGAAAATGCGATTTTTAGGAAATTTAATTCTAATATTGAAAAATTTATTTTGTGAAAAATTTACGAATTCTGGTGAAGATGCATTTTTATATATACAAATTCCAATTTTGTCTCTAAATTAAATTATAATTCAATTAATCTAGGTACCTAAGAAATCTCAGTTTACTTTAAAACGCAAAAAAAGTAAAAATGAAGCAGATTATGGTAATTTGGTCTGTCCTCTGGAAATTTCACCTCCAGGTACTCCATCGACTCCTACTTCAACACCAGGCAGTCCTAATTTGAATTCACCAACATTTTAACAATCACAAATCATAGTCTTGTAAGTCTAACTTGACTAATACTAATTCTTTCATTCTTCATTATTTCTCTTATTTAATATTTGATTTATTTAATATTGATAATTTAATTCTACATTAGATATTTTATCATCTGTTATTATTAATTATAATAATATAAAAAATATAATTATATAATAATATAATTATAAAATATAAAAAATAATAATAAAAAAAATTAAAAATAGATATATTGTATATTGTTTGTATATTGTATATTAACACATAATTTAATTCATTTGTTAATTTTTCTTTTCTAACAAATACAATTTATTTTGAATACAATTACTAATTGATTATATAAATTTAAGTAATAATTTATTTTATTCTATTTAATAAAATAATGATTGCATAAATTTATTATAAAAATATAGATTGATATAATGATTTATATAATTGATATCTGTTTTTCGAATAATAAATTAGTTAAGAATTTATATATATAAAACTAAATGATGAATTGAATTATTTATATCGAAATACGGATAAACGAAGTTTTATTGTTAGTAAATTTTAATATTATCAATATTGTTAAGAAATTTTATCATTTATCTATTTATTCATTTTATATATTTCGTTATGTAATCATTTGTCAAACTTCTATTCATTTATTTATGCATTATTCTTAATATTATAGATTACTATATATTATAATATTTATTTAAGTTAATTAATTTTTTTCAGAATCAAAAAATAATAATCAGAGAAGAATGATTGGTTGCATTTGAAAAGTATAATTGCACCTATACATAAAAAAAGTGTTCTAGGGACCATCATTTTATCTCTTTAGTTTAAGTCTTATTATTTAATTTTGAATAATGAAATATTGAATAATGAAATATTGAATAATGAAAATAAATATATTAATTGCAAAAAAATAATTCTTTTTAGAAATATTTACATTTATGTTTTATTTATTTATTATGATATATACAGTAAAAATACTAAATTGATAAAAATTGAATAAGACTTAACCATGTAACCATGTAAAAATACGAATAATTAATGTATTTATAAAAAATAAACAATAAAATGTAAAGTGTAAACAATAAATATATATTATGTTTACACTAATATTATACAATAACAACTAAAGTCATGATTTTTATATGTGTCATATTTACATCAAATGAACAATTTGTACAATATGTACATTACATACAATACATATGTACATTATCAATTTTTCTAAGTGGCCTATGATTATATTATCTTTGTAATTTTACTATATATTCAATTATATTCAAATTTGTATTCTTATACATATAACTAGGTTATTAAATATATTAATTATCCAAAATTTAAAAAATTGTATACACTAATTTTTTTCATAAACCTATTGAATAATAAATTTTTGCATATTATTGAAATAAGAAATATATATTTTATACATATTATTTATTAAATATTTTTATTTTAAATATATGTAAATTATATTATTTATATATGTAAAATTTTAAATTTATTATAAATAAATCAATAATCTATTCCAAAATTTAATTAAATGTAATTATTTTCTAAAAATGGATTAAAATCTAATAAAAATCAATAAAACAAAATTAATTAGTTATCAACAACATAATTAAATGCTAATTATTAATTTCTTGATATTTTAAAAATAAATATAATATAATTTTTTTAATTTTAACTTATAAATCATTAAAAATATTCAATAAATTTATCTTTTATTTTTAATAATAAAAAGAGTTGTGTTGTATATTATATAAAAGTTATGTTTGTAAATATATTTATGAAATAAAATTATATTATTTTAAATTTATTATATTAATAAAATTTATACTATTTACACTATATCAATATTTAACTAAATAAATAAAAATCACAAATTCAATTTATATGAAAAAGTAAAATATATAAATATTCATTTTATTATTAATCTAGATATTTTTATTAAATATAAATCAAAAATATGTGATATATAAATAATTAATATTTTATATTTGAAATTTTATTCTTTAAAAAAAAATTAATATAAATAAATTAAAAATTCAATTAGATATAAACATATATTATATATACATATACTATATTCAATATATAGTTATTTCAATATAGATATACTTTTTATTGTCATGCGCGTTGATTCACATTCGTATTGTAAATAATCAGTACGCTGTGAGCAATTAAAGTAACAAAATGTGAAGAAAATGTATAATCTATGTTAACAATGGAAAACGATAGTTTAGCGATTGTTTATATTGCAAATGAAGAAAAAGAATTAAATCTTACAATTATTTATGGACAAACAATAGAAGATCTTTGTATTAAGGTAAGGTAGTGAAAGAATTATATTTCTTTCTCGATCTTATTATTAAAGTTAAATGAATATTATGTTTTGATATTTTGTAAGATATTGAAAATAAATTATTAATAATTAATAAAATAAAATTTTATTAATTATTAATCAGAAAGTAAAATGAAATTGAAATTAAATTAAAATTCAATTTTAACCTTTTTAAAATTAAAATAAATCTGAAATCTAAAATATACTTATATAAAATATCATTTAAGTACAGACAAATATTAGATTTATAAAGCTTTATTTATGTATTTATATAATAATATTGGGAATATTATATATTTGGAATTAAACATAATTTTGCTTGTTTTAATGTACATTTAATTTAAATAAATGATTTTTCAGATCTGTAGATCTCTTGGAATAGGTCCAATAGCCAGACATCTTTTTGCTCTTAGAAATCATTATACAAAACTTTGGTATTCATTATCATATCGTTTGGAAATGAAAAATAAAGATAAATTTGATTTTAGATTAAGATTTAAACCTTCAAGTTTAAAAAGATTAAAACAGATTGATGTAAATGCCTATGATTATTATTTTCAACAAGCACGTTCAGATGTTATGGATAATAAGGTCCCAGATATTGTTTATGAAATACATAAACAAGAATTGATTGGACTTGGTGTTACTGATATGTATAGGTTTGTATAATTCAATCTCAATCCAATTGAATCATTTAATGATTTATTTATCTTAACTTAAATTTCATGATAAAATTATATATTTTTATAATTAATTTTGCAAATAGTTCTATATAATTTTTTAAATAATATTTAATAAGTATAATTTGAAAGTATAATGAAAATTATTATTTTATAATTATTTTATATAATTAACTTATTCAATATTGTGATTTTTCCTTTTAAAAATTTGATTAATTAATCTAATTTTTGATAATTATAAAATTATTTTTTTTACTCTTTTACAGAGTAATGTTAGAAAAAGGAGTACCAAGAGAAACAGTGGAATCAGAATATAGAAAATATATTCCTAGGGAATGTATAAAACGTCATGCATTTTTCATTAAAAAACCAATTCATAATGCACTTCTAGAAATCTGTAAAATATCTGGATGTGATGCAAATTATGTTAAAGAACAATATTTGAAACAATTTGAATGTATGGCACCAAATTATCCATATGAAGAATATGAAGCTTTAATGGATAGAGATCTTCAAAATCCTCCAATAAAAGTGACTTTAAGGGTCAATGTAGATGAAATAAAATATTGTGAATTAAATGTTGCTTCATGGATTACATTATGTGCAATTGAAGATTTATGTTTTGTTTCTATAAGGTTTAAAATTTATCATCAACATAAACATTAATAACAAAATATAATATATTTTAATATAAATATCTTTTTGTGGTAGACATTTTATTATATATATCAAATTCAATTTTTCAATGATCAAATTTTATTATGTAATAATTTTTTTATTATATTTTTATTATATTTATATTTATATTATGTTTATTTTTTTATTTTAAAACATTTCTCAAAAAAATTAAAAATATTTTTTATTGAAAATAGTATATTTTCTTTTACTTAAAATGTAATAAATAAAACATTTTTTACAATGATATTAAATTACACATAATTTTTATTTATAATTGATTTTTTGTTTGCGTGCGCGTGCGCATATATTTTGTATGTAAAAACTATTTAATATTTTTTTTATTTTCTTTAGACAAGATAATACAGTGGAAATATCGAGGAAAAATGGTATACCTTCATATTTGAAATTTTCAAAAAATGCACTTTTAATGTCTTTTGTTTCTGCTCTGGATGGTTATTATCGTCTAGCAGTTAAATGGACATTTAATTTATGTGGAGAGATTGTCACTCCTTCTTTGGAAAGATTACATAAATTAAAGTGTCATGGTCCAGTTGGGTATGATTTCATTTATTTTATTTATTATATTTACAATATAAAATTTTATAAAAAAAATATATGTATATAAAAATATTGTAAAATTAAATTTTATTTTAGGCAAGAATTTTCATATACAAAACTTCAACAAAAACGTGCTAATAAACCAGGTTCTTATCTACTTAGAGAAAGTGAAACAGAATATAATGTATATCATTTGGATATATGTAATAAGGGAGGAAAATTATTTTCAAGGAGAATAGAAGAAAAGGTTCCAAACGAGTTCACTGTTAGTGGGATTCCTAATCGATACAATTCATTGGTACAATGTGTCTCATCTTTTCAAGATTCTGAAGGACAGCCATATCTTTCAGAATGTTTACCACCCTCAGAATATGGTAATTTAAATAAGTTTTTGTTCTTTATTTTATATTTTTATAACTGAAAATTTATTTTTTTATTTTATTTATAATTAATAGAATATTTTTATTGTTATAATTATTATATTATTATAATAACACAAAATAATAAAAGTAAGAAAAAATTAATTTTTTTTAGATAAGTCATCACTATTACTTTGTGCTCCTGAAAATGCTGTTAGTGAAGTTGCAGCTGATGAAGAAATTGTTGCTTCAGTTTTAGAAACTGGCCCTCATTGTGTATCTCAAAATCAATTAGAAATTTATAAACCTTTTTTAAAAACTATTAGAACTCAACAATATTCACCAACAACTCTTCACAGAGCGATTTGGAGGTTAACTAAAGGAAAAAAATTAGAAGTTGCTCTTAAAATTTTAAAACAAGAAGAAGAAGCAAATTATACAAAAGAATTTTTGGAACTTGCTGGAAAATGGTCTCAATTACGTTCAGGTACTCTTGTAAGGTAAATAATATTTTAAAATATAAAATAAAGTAATTATAATATTATAGTTTTCTATATTTTTAAAAAATGTAAAGTAATGTAATATAGATTAAAATATTTTAAATTATAATATAAAAAGGAATATTAATAATGGTTTTAAAAAATATGAAAAAAGAAAGAAAGAAGTCAAAAATGTTTTAAATTTAATTTATTAGATTATTCAATTATTATATTATTATGAAAATATTAAAATAGTAATTGTAAAATTTCAAAATGTATATTTTACAGAATTTTTAGTACTTTTTATTTCTTATCTAGTATTTACAACAAAAAATCTTATTACAGTAAATGATCTTACAATCAAATTTTATATTATTATAAAATTATAATATAAAATAATATAAACTATATTATTATAGTTATAATATATAGTTTAAGTTTCTTCAAAATTTTTATATAATAATCTAAATCTAAATATTGAATGAATAATCCAAATTAGTTTAATTTTTTGCACTCATTTAATATATACTTATTATATATTGATACTAGAATAATTTGTATGTTCTAGTAGATTATATGGTTTAACAGTAACACCATCAATTGGAATGCTCTTGGAATTGGTACGACATGGTTCACTTGATGAATATTTACGTAGTTCTTCTTCTCAAACTATTAAAACTGTAGATATGGTAGAAGCAACAGCCTGTTTGGCCGCTGCTCTTTGGCATCTTGAAGAAAATGGTGTAGTTCATGGTAACATTAGATGCAATAAGCTATTAGTACATGCCCATACTAATAACAGTTTTGTAGTAAAATTAGCCGATCCAGGAATATTTGTATATACAGAAACGGATATTCATTGGTTACCTCCAGAGACTTATAATGATCCAGAATTGGCCAGACATAGTTTTCAAGCAGATATTTGGGCTGTTGGAACAACAATTTGGCAAATATTTGCTAGGTAAATCTTTTAAATAATTATTAATTTTTACATTTTCATTATAATTTCAATTTAATATTATTGGTTTTAAAATATATATGTATTTATAATATATTTATAACAATATCAATTTATCATAAATATTTCATAAATGATTTAATACAATTTTAATATATAAAAATAATTTAATATTACTTTTTTTCAGAGGAGATACATTACAAGAATTTTCAAATGTTACTATTGTAAAAAAACATTATGAAGCAGGAAAACGTTTGCCTATTCCAAATGGTTGTCCTACAGAAGT